AGGCTCAAGCTGTAAGAGAAAATTCCAATTAGTAGAGAAATTAATTTGAAAAATTACCTTGACGTTTCGATAGCTCTTTTCTGCTATCGTTATCATAAGAACCTAAATGAACCTAAAAAAGAGTATGTTAATAAATTGTGTAACAATAGTAGGATAATGCAATATATGAAAATTCGCTCTGATAATTCGTCTGTGCAAATTGTCAGTTATGATTATTATTATTGTTATTATTTTAAAAAATTTTTGAGGCGAAATACCCAAAAAGAAGTTTGTAAAAAAATTAATCCGCCTCAACAATATAGAACTTATCTGCAATGATACTTTTTGGACATTTTCGGGCTCTTTGTAAAATCTTGTAGCAATTGTGGTTTTTGCAAAAAAAGGAATTACGATAAATGTTCTTATGGAATATACTGCAATCTTAACTAATCTAAGCTAATCTTAAACAGAATCTTTTCTCTTAATTTAAAACAAAAAATCTTGATTTCAGGTATGAGGAAAAACTACAACTAACAAGTGTTTGTGTGAATAAAGTGTTTGAGAACTATGTGAGTGAAACCCACTCATAAAATTCCAAAAAAATTGCATTTATATATATTTTTTAAAATTAAAATTGATGCAAAATCTGTGTTAGTAGAAAGTGAACAATTAGAACACAAAATATCTTCACATTAATCACGAAGTGGCTCTAAATAGAACAGACGTAATTGGATTAAAATGCTAATCTGCAATAATTAAACCATACACAGGGTGTTGCACCAAAGCCGCCAATCTTTAAAGCATTGGAAAGTATTGAATTCGATCCTCTTGAGACTGTTTAAGACATCATTAAACAAAGTACTTGTTGGGCAAATTTCTAACAATGGGTTACTTTACTCGAAATTGCGTTACCGCATCTTGGCCATCTCGAGGTCGTTTTCGCTCTTCCATTATTAACCATCCGCAGTGTTATTATGAAACCTACACAGTGGCCAGCAGGTTTTTTTTAACAAATAGCCAAAGGCACGATATTTGTAGCTAAATATAGCGAACGGGTGGATATTTTTAAAAGCCGTTCTAAATAAATTGCAGGAAATGTGTCGTTCAGTGACATATTTCCATGACAAATTCTACGTGCAACTAACGTAAAGCTTGCCCCAGAAACAGTGGTTCGGATGGAAAAAGTGCTGTGACTCCGAAATTAAGCTAATTATTGGAAAACTGGGACATTGATCAGGACTGCAGTGAGAAGCCAAATAGAATAATCCAATAAAAATTGCCTTCAATTATAATCGTTACTATACAGAGCAGGATTTGCTGCTCCTTCATTAAACCGCCGTAAATATTTTAGAAACTCACTGACCATAACGCAATAAGTGCGGCTGTTTAATTAATGTGATGCTTAATATTAATATGAAATGAAAGTATAACAAAGTCACTTTTCACGTGCAAGTTCTTGAACGCCAGTGTCATAACGGTAACGCACTTTACTTTTGCCGGTTAATTGAATGGAAAATTGGCAAGATCTGGACTAAAATAACAATTGAGTACATATGAAAGCAAGATCTGAGATTTTTTCAGGGGTTTTCATCGATTACATGGACTGCAAGAAAACCTGCCTCACGGGTCATTCGACTCATAAAGCTAAGACTTTATAATCCTAGGAATTTATTCATATCAAAATGTGCTTGTGCCAAGGCTACGTTCTCGATGAAATGATCGGCGTGACGCAAACAGGAAAAAAATGTTGTTTGTGTCAGATCCGAAGTGTTCAAACAATCACATTTAAATGTGCAAAGAAGAGATTTGAATCAGCGCCAACCCATCACGAATGCCAAATCATCTCAATCAATTTTAATGGAGAAAGTAGTCAGTTGCTTCAATGCCATCAATAGAAAACTCCTTCTGTCCCTTTTCATATACTTTGAGTGTGGAAGACACATGGAACACTGACTAATTAAAAAACTGTCGTGGGCTAAAATATACGGTTATTTCCGGACCCATTATATATTCATTAACTTGCAATATTAAATGCATTTGCCAGTACTTGCAATACGACGTGCACATTGTAATGGAGCTGAAACAATTGGAAAATCATTCACTAATTCTCATTCACGTTATGTAACTAGAGGAGAACAGGTCCCGACATACAAGCACCAAATATTTACATGAGGATATTGATATTTGCCTTGCTGATCACAAAGACGTGGGCCTCAGCATGTATTTGTCCAGGCTATTTTCGGAAAGCTTTATAGGACTAGATGATGATTCTCACATTCTAATCACCAAAAATCCTTCGGTAAATTGAAATATCCGTCGAATTTTATTGCATCGTTCAGTCGCATTTGTGCAGCTGAATTTTGTTGGAGACAACAACTGAAACCCACTGATGAGTTAAGAGAAAAACTCCCATTTCTTAACTAAATCCGCCGTATATTACGAAAAATAATCGATGTTCAGAGGCAAAACTTGAGTAGTTATTTTCGCGCTCGTTTATGTCCCGAAAAAGTTCGTAAATTACGGTTTTAACATGAATTTATTGCCGACGTTATTTATGGCGACACATCGCTGCATTGTACAAATGTATTCTTGTAATGCCAAGTCCTTAAAATTAATTTATTTTTTTTGTGTAGCTATGTCGCGAAAAGCTTAGTCGTCGTTGATAAAGCGATAGGGATTCCTTACAATCATTTTCGAGTTAATTCGTTAAAAAAAAACATACAAAAACATACTGATGATGATTAATAAGGCGTTCCTTAATCGTAGCACTAGTTAAATTTAAAAAAAAACTGCCATATAAAAATGAAACTTTGCTGGAAAAAATAAAAACAAAGCTGACAATTTAACGCTTTTAAGAAACAGCGCTTTGATTTTCTAGAAGCACTAAAGAAACGCCCTCTACATAAAGGAACAAAACTGAAAAATATTTTCCGAAAATGAAAATCAAGCTGCATGAATCTGAGTGTAGAAGTTCAGAATTCATAAGCATTACCGGGTTTAAATCAAATGCAAGTAAAGATTGACATTAAACCCACAGAGGTTATTTCTTCATCCACTAGAAACAAAAACAGTGTGCACAGAGTGGCATGAATCAGGACAAAATAAACTAGAAATTTTAAAAATAAACGAGATGAAATTAAATAATCGAGATGACAGCACGCGCAAAACAAAAACAATTATAAGTACGTAAAATATAGAAAAATAATCAGATTGTGTACCTACAGACATTAAAAATACATTTTCATATTTTAGAAATTGAAAAAAATTTAGATTTTTTTAAATGATTATTTCGGAGAAACTTTGAAGAAGCAGAGAACTTTGCAGGATAATATATTTTTTTTAAATCTAAGTCATAGAAGCTTAGAGTTTAAAAAGCAGCGGTAAAGCAACCAAAAGTTAGAAACAAAAAACCGCAAAAGCCATTGAGTCAAAAGAAGTGAAAATTTATTTGCATCGGAAATATACGGATCGCATTCTGCGAAATCCGATATTTTTTCAGAAAACGTAAACTTTGATATTTTCTTACACGAGCCTTTCGAAAAACTTTCCAGAAAAATATACATTTTTCCAAATTTGAGTTATAAAGGCTCAGAGGTAAAAGGGCCTCAAAGTTTTGAATCAAATTAATTAAAGAAAAATAATGAAAAATGTTTGCATCGGAAACCGATAGATTTTAAAAAAATTGTATTTTTTTGATTTTCCTAAATGATCATTTTGAAAAAAACTCTAAAGCAAGAGGAGAACTTTGCAGAAAAATTAAAAAATTTCGATTCGAAAAGTCGAGTCATCAAGGTTCACAGCTAAAAGAGCAGCGCCAAAAACACCAAAATTCAGGAAAAAACATCGCTTCCGACATTTAATCAAATGCTGAAAAAACTGAAATAAAAATTTAAATATTTTTGCATCGGAAATATAAATCTCGTCATCTGCGGAAACCAAGAGATTTAAAAAACTATGAGATTTTTCTGAAAGATGTTTTTGGAGACAAGACAGACACTTTGAAGAAGCAGATAATTTTGCGGAATAATCAACATCTTTAAAACTTGGGTCACAAAGTCTTAGAGTTTAAAGAGCAGCGGTAAAGCAACCAAAAGTTGGACAAAAAACCGCAAACGCCATGGAATCAAGTGGTAAAAATATGTGAAAAAATAAAATAAACAGTATCTTTGCCTCAACAATTAATATTTCGGAATTTGCGAAATTGCAATCTGCGAAAACCGATAGATTT